CATTTGTTTAGTCAATTACCAAAATTTGGATGATTTTGAATATTCACTTGAAAAGTTATCAAAGAAAAACATTTTTCATTTTGTAACTTCGAGGGCCCGTAACTTGGTTACGAAGACTTTTAGGAAAAAAAGTTATATGAAGTACTGGTGATATTTTGACCCCATCTATACATTCCCGAGAGGAAAAGAGGAAGTCCAGGGACACCCTGTATATACATTCTGTTGTATATTTTACCATTACTGTTCCCATAATTATGCGATACTGACAATATTGAAATACCAGGAGAGCCATACGAAATTATAGTCTTTAATGACTGGTCACTTCAAATATTTCCATAATTCAAGAACAAAGACTGCTGTGATATTTTATTCAGAATATTGAAGTAGTGAACAGAATGTCATTTAAAAAAAGGAGTCGGTAAAGATTATTGTATATCATAATGAGCGCTGAATGTTGCATTCTTTCAAATATTATGAGTGATTGTTCAGTTTTTTTCAACACCATCCTCTTACAAGCTTTGATTTCATTTGCAATATTTGTATGTGTGGTACTCAAATCGTGCGACTGAATTTGTAAGCAATTTATCAATTGGGCTGTTACTTTGCGTCCACATTCAATATGAATAAAAATGCATTATTAGTGATCTGACATCATTTCATACGAATGAAGGTCTGCCCAAGATGAAAAATTTCATTTTTTCCAGGTACCCCTATGATATGGGTATCAAATAAAATAATTTGCTGAGAAATGCGAAGAACAATATGACTTCACACAAAATCCAAAATAACAGACCGCCCAAGGCCGCGAACTAGTTTTCGAGTGCTTTTTCAGGATATGTGTATAAAAAGAATGGACTTGCTAAAAAATACAAAAATTGATTTGACGTAACACTAAATTCAAAATAACAGAACGCCCCAGATGATATAAGTATTAAATCAAAGAGTTTTCTGAAAATATTACAAAAAATAATATCACGTACTATGAATCCAATATGACGAACCGCTAAGATGGCGAACTAGTTTTTTTATAGCATCTCCATGAGGTCTTCAGAGTCGAGTTGAAAAACAGCTTCAGCTGACACTTTGTCCATTCGTCACAAGATTTCCTTTGATTATTGAGAATCAAAATTAGGTATCCTCCATCTCTTGTGATGAAATAAGTCAATACTATTATTGACAAAATGGTGAAGCTTTCGCGGCTGAGGTTTTCATTGTAACTATTTTCGAGTTTGGAAGCCGTGGATTCTTGGATTGTTTTCCGACATTTCGCTGTTGCAAGTGGCTAGCTCCTTCAGAGGCTTATACATCCTGAGTAGATATCTCCGATGACTGGATATTGCGGCTTGCATAACGCGAATTTATGTTGCTTATACCTGTACCTGGCTTAGGTAAATTACGGAAGACGTGTTTATATTGATTCATGTAGTCTGGTGTGGTAATAATTGTTTTTCTACTTGGACAAAACACAAGCACTACAGCAAAATCCTTAAGGCGCTCTTAGGGCGGTGCCTGTGCGAGAGTAGTGATTCACAGTGGATTTGAATCGCTAGAGATTGAATCCTTATGGAAAAACGTTCTTGAGAAATTTATTCCACAGAAACACCGTTTTTCAAATGAAAGTTCTTAGCCAGTGAAATTCGAGGTGTACTGAACCTCAAAACAATGAGCAGCCACAGTTCATCACGTATTTCTGATATATAACGCTCTTGGTGGAATCAAATGTGCCAAGTCACTTGCACACTTCCTGTGAAAGTATCTTTATAAGAAAGACAAATCTCCATTTCTTCCCTGTGGAACACAAGCGTTGATGGTGAAAGTATTCGAAAGATATCCACGACCAGTTGCAGAAAACGATCTTCAAGGAAGCTGAAGAGCCATACACAAAAGTAATCCGACAAGCCACAGCGTCGAAGTTTGTCCAGCAAACCCTCAGCCAGAGACCTCAGAAATATCAAGCGCAACAGCTCTCTATTGGGTTATTCCAAAAATGGTTGACATACGATAGAAGGTTGCCTGTTGATCTTTGTTTCTGAAAACCATATATTTGAGGATATGGTGGTTTATGGCTTTCTCCATGATTTTTAATATCACTGATAGCAAAGCGACTGGTCTATATTTATTTGGTAGAGTTTTCTTGCCCTTTTTGGAAATAGTCTGAACGCGAGCAATCTTCCAACAGAAAAGAAAAACACCTTTCTTGTAAGGCAGGTTGAAAAGTCTACCAAATACTGTTGCCGGTTCATTTGCGCACTTTTCAACTAGTATGACGGGCAATTCATCAGGACCAGATACCTTGTTGATGTTGAGCTGTTTGAAAATTCGCCTAACTAGACGCTGTCGAGAAGTAATTTACGGCATTGTGGATTCTAGCGTGGGAATAGTGGGTGATGCCCTTCCAAAAAAATCGACTGTGGAGTGGAACGCAAATTGTTCAGCTAGTAGATTCATTTTATTTATGGCTGTTATTGCAATTGAATCATCCGCTTGTGTAAGTGGTGGAATTGTGGATTCTGTAAAGTTCTGATTAACAGTTTTAGCTAACGACCACAAGGATCTAGACCCGTTGGGATTGGCAAGTGATTTATCCCTAATTCTCTGATTGTGAAGTTCTTTGCTATCATTCATCCTGAGTTTGCAGCTGTTGCGAGCATTAACAAACCTAGTTCGGTTTTTGGCATTAAGATTTTTGCGCCAATGCTGGTAGGCGAGATTTCTGAAGGCGACAGCTTGCTCGCAAACCTGGATTGGGTGCATTTTCAATAATGTTCGTTGACCCTTTTCTACCTGCCGTTATGCTGCTTGCTATTCTTGATGGAATTCCATCATCGATTGAGACTCACAGCTCCTCCTTTTCTGATGATGTGTTTGTGGATTTCTATTGCCTCCCGTACCAGTCGGCTATGGCATCCCTGGTCGGGGCAAAGAGTTCTGTGTTTTCAAACAGAAACCTGTGGTTTCCTTAACTGAGTGCATCCGTTTAGCCGAGTCTGCAGTTTGTTTCATGCGTCTTCAGGCTTGTCCACATTGATATTTTGGTGGTTCCAATGTACACCTTCTCACGAGTGCACGGTGATAACCCATGCCGCTGATAGTGGAATTCATTTTGTCTGTAACCGACCTGAAGATTTGCTGTATATATTTTCTTGGTAGGTTTCAAACCTACCAGGAAGATACAAGATAATTTTTCAGTTAGTTCAGAAAATTCCAAAAACGGGTGTCGATATATGTAATTACTTCTCATGAGAAAATCTGAAAAAAAATTCTATTGAGAACTCATTAATGAAATATTTTCAATATTAGTGGAATACAAATGTGACAGTAGCCGGTCGGGTTGATCTTTGTGATTTGCTCTACTCACTCAATCGACCGCTGTGTGACCCGGTGGTCAAATCGTAAGGCCTGACGATCGATTTCCAACACATGTGAAGTAAAACCTCGTTAGTCCTTAGCTCGCACGAATCACGACTTTTGAGAGTTATCGTTCGTAGGTGGGCGACAGCTGGTTGGCGGAAAAAAATATTTCAACAGACAGATACCTACTCAATTGTTTTACAATTGCATGTGAATTGCATGTTAATAGAATAGCAAAATATTCATCGTCAAATCACCATCTGGCGAAGACAAATATTTTAATTCAATTCACATAATAAAACGCTTTCGATCAAAGTTGAAATATTTTCAAAATATTCATACCCTATCCCAACAAACATGACAATTCATAGTAACGAATGAATAATGTTTAGTACAGATCCTAGGACATTATATTTGACATAAACAGTTAATTTCATGAATAATATTCATATATAGACACACAAATTGCCAACTAATTGTTTTTTCACAGTTATAAATTGATAAAATTGTACATGTTCAGTAAGTGTTATTCTATGACAAGAATATATAATTGTCATATATAATACCATATAATATAGTGGCTAACACATCTGGTTGAATCTTCTAATCTTTTTCCCGCGTGAAAAACTAAAAATAACAATTCCGGTCCAGAACATCGGTTGGAGACGAAGCGGTTTATCCAGAAGGAATATCATCTACCGCAGTTCAAATTCCACACAAATTGTTACTTTTACATAGCCACTACTCTCAAAAAGCTCTGATGATTTTATATACGTCTTTATCTTCTCAAAATTACTTTTCACCCTACTCAATTATGGACAATATTTCTCTCGAGTTTACTAATTTTGTTGGAAATTCCCGTGAAGTTATGGTACTCATTCGGATAATTCCTGTATGAACTAATGCTAGGTTTTGGCTGATTATTTGAAATCATTTTGAAACTTTTCAGGGATTCACTGTGGCCCTGTTCTATTGTTTCCTCAACACTGAAGTTCAAAACACCTTACGACACCATATTGAGACATGGAAGACAAGGCGATCTCTGGGACCAAAAGGTCTTCGTGCTAGCGCTCGTAGCAAAGATTGGTCACCACGATCACGTACTGAGAGCATAAGGTAAGTTATCATTTATGAACTCTTCATTTCTGAACTTTTCTATCATATTGTTATCCTGAAGTTGCGAAAACTGTTGGTGAATACTTGCACACAATTCTTATAATTTTATCAGCTCCAGAAAATAACCACCTGGATGTAGGCCATTCTGTTCATATATTTGAAGCAGAAATTGTTCACTTATCAATAACGGAATATGAGGTTTGAATTTGATCATAGAGTTCCATCAGAGATATACAGCCTCAAAACAATAAACAAAATTATGATATTCATATTCTGAAGATAACGCGGAAGTCTGCGTTCTCGCTTCCAAGGTTGGAGGAACACCTTGAAAGCAATAGTACAGACCTTTGAAATATATGTTATCGCCAACCTCCATTGGCGAAACATTAGGTGAAATCTCAACACACAAAGGTCTAAGAATCCTCAAACTTGATTTTGTTGGGGATATTTATAGATCAAAATATAAATCAACAGTAGTCAGGCGATTGAATAATTTCAAAGCGGGTGGGTATATTCAGGCATCCACCGCAACCTGTGATGTTTTATCGTGGCTCAATCCTATCCAAACTCGACCAAATGAATCCAGCTTTCTAACGAAGCCGATTGCGGCGTTTTGGGCCTGATTTTTCGAGTAAGCTCGCAAGATTGAAACTCTGTGATATGTCAAAAACCAGATACGATCTGTGGCCGGGCAGAAACAGAATATTTGTTGTACTACAAGGGCCTGTACTTTTTCTGAGGAATAATTCACTTCGAAGTTGACTTACCATGATTCATTATTTATAATCTAGTATGCATCTGATCGGCAGTCAGTCTAGTATTACCTCCTTGATACGAATGTATCACTTTGAAGGTATTTCTTCTATCACGCATTTGAGAAGGACATTTTCTCAAAGCTTGAAAGTATCAACTGCTCTGACCTGCTAGAAGATCTTCTTTCCTCTCAGTTAGCCTGATGCCATTGAAGTAAAGTTACCGGATATGAAAGGAGGAAAGTCCTCAAAACAGAAGACTCTTTCCTCAGTCAACTCAATACTTCGAGAACGGAAGTTGTTGGTACCATTGGCAAATATGGAAGTACTGAAAGTGAATAGGATAACCGACACCAAGTTATGGTTGTTGATAAGTGATACATTACAAAAAGAAATGTCTAAATAATGATATGTACAGAACAAATAACCAAGCCCAGTTATTGAATGTTTTCAACAGAAAAATTTTGAGTGGACAACTCAGATGAGAAGACTGGTATGTCGATTTCAGAGTCAGTGCTATTCAACTAAAAGAGAAAATTGAATCAAATATATTTTAAACACAGGTATGAATTAGATAATTGTGGCTAATGATACTACCATTGTATAGTTCAGTAATTGTATCTCCTAACTATCTTCTCGCATCCTCGATGGCAGCTACGATATTATAATGAAGAGATACTAGTTGATTGGACGATAAAAACTCAAGGACTGAGGGCATATGTAATTGAGCTTACCTGACCGTCTTATAGAGTTTTCACACCTCTGGTTTGAGAGAATCATCATTTGAGCATAAGCATTTGTAAACCTTCTCTGCTGCTATGCTATAATCTGCTAAAGCAGATTATTCCATCTCTTGACGTAGATTCTGCTTTATTGGCTCAAAAATTTGTTGCAAGGTGAAAAGCAACTTATTCATACAGGTTTGTACAAGGTCCTACAAGTACCTAGAATGGAGAAGGGATGTGTATCACGGTAGAAGTATGTATTCCTATGACGAGGGTCTGAAGATGAGAGCTCACCTGGTAGGTATCTTGAATGTTTCGTTATTGAGACCTTTCACCCTCATATGCAGATAAACATACCTCAGAATAGGACATTATTTTGGAAAAAACTCACCTCCACGGGTGATACATCTTACGCAGCATCCAGCTGCAAAGCAAAAGTTAGACGGTAGTCAGTTGCTCAGTGAGTTCCCATTTCAAGGCGATGAGTTACTGCCTATCTTCAAATAGTAAGACAACGTTAATCTCTAGCTCGACTTTTAGAAGTTGGTGTTTGTATGGGTGTGGCGGATAGTTAGGTACAGAAATTAATTTGACTATTTTTTCTTTCAAAGCTACTTCTCCATCCTACAACTGCAATACTTTTTTATGAGAGATTCTTTGCTATTTTTGACAGATTCCGTATGAATTAGAATACAAGTAGATACAAGAACTCTCACAAGAAAGTGGTACTTGAATTCGTTGATTTTCATCGAGTATCGATCAAATATATCGCAAGAAAAGTGTTAGGCCGGGAGCCCGTGACAGAAATTTTGACCCCATTTTTTACCGTCTGCCTTTTTTAGAGGACATATTTACAGCCATAAGCAACAATATTATGTGTTGAACAATTTTCTTCTCCATTACACGCTTGAACATTAACTATTTTTCATAAAAAAACCGTCTGCCATTCATGCGATCAAAAGGCTAGTTTACGCAACCCACAAAAAAAAGATTGGCAGATGGTTACATGGTGTTCTGGCTAAAGCATAAATTTTTTATTTAACTAAAAAAATGGTTGACTAAAATCAATTTTTTACCGACTGCCAAGCACAGCGTAGACTAACAGTAGCATGGAATGAACGAATTTTCACAAGGCAGACGATTTGCCGGTGTATTAATAATTTATAGGCATTAGCTTTTTTTTTACCGTATAAAACTTGGCAAGATATAAACTTCAGTAATGAAAATACAGAGAAAAATTATTGACAGATGAATAAACTGTGTTTATACAACTGGAAAATATGTTTTAATTTGTTGAAAAAAGTAATAACTTTTACCGTCTGCTATTGTTTACTTGCAATATATATTAGTATTAGGTAGACAAATTGTCAATCGGCAGAAGAATAGATCGTGTTATACAACTGAAAAATATGTTTTAATTTGCAGAAAAAAAGTAAAAAATTTGACCAACCGTCTGCCGTTGTTTCCTTGCAATATATAATTATTAAGTAGACAAACTGTCAATTGGCAGAAGAATCGACCGGGTTTAGATGAGAGTGGTAGACAATTTGTGATGACACAAGTGTCAATGTTACTTCACAATTTGGTTTTGGAAACAATTACAGATTCATAAATGCCACATGAATCGACCGTGCTCTTGGCTTTCAGCTTTGCGCTGGTTTACCTGCACTCCATGCCTTAACCGGCTGTTATTTTACACCAGCTTTTTATAAAAAAAGGTAATGAAAACCTTTGTCGATTTTAATAGGCAAAGAAGAATTTGAAAAAGCTTTTGCAGACTTGGCGAATCCTTCTTTGATTGCCGACACTGCACCAATAATCGAAGAATTTGTGTGCCGTATGTATGGAACAACCAAAAATAAGTTATCCAAAGTCAAGACTGAAGCAAGAGTTCGGATATATGAAAGACATTACGGAGTGATAGATGACATGGAGTCTTTCAAGAAACAAGTTACATCGTTTGACGCATCCAATCTACTACCATGTGCCAGAGAGTTACAGCAACAAATTTAAAGAACTGCATATATTTGAATAGAACTGGCCGATAGTTGAAAGTCCTTATTGAAAAACTAATCATTACAGTTTATTGTATGATTTTCACCATAAAAGGGTTTTACAAAAACCGCGACACGTGTTTCGCTATACAATAGCTTCCTCAAGCATAAACTGTTTATGTTTGTATATATTGTATAACGAAACACGTGTCGCGGTTTTTGTAAAACCGTTTTATAGTGAAAATCATACAATAAACTGTATTGATTAGTGTTTTTTCAACAGCATATATATCAAACATGTGGACCTATTCTTTTGAAAAAATTCCATCCCAATTAGACCTATTAAATTATGGCTGGTGTCACAATGATAATGGACAGTATACATTTAACTGGTTTGAGGCACCTGACACGCCTGAAAACTTTCAAAAAAAGTATATTAACATCTGCAGGTACGTCAGTATTTGAGAAAGTATGAGAACTCAATGAAATGAAAATCCAGCATGAAAATATCGAAAATATTATCCCACGTAATTTATTGAAAATAAATGAATGTAGTAGCATATGTTCACGTATCGTTAAAATAATTTTGCATTTCTTTCACATCCTTTGAACTGTATCACAAAAATTGATAATTAGATTGCTACTTAATTTTTTGTTCTAGATCCTACTGAATTTGCTCTTATGAAGTAACATTGACACTTGTGTCATAAAAAATTGTCTACCACTCTCGTCTAAACACGGTCTATTCGTCTGCCAATTGACAGTTCGTCTATTCAATAATTATATATTGCAAGGAACAGACGGTAAAACGTTGGTCAAAGTTATTCGTTTTTTTTTGCAAATATATATTGCAATGAACCAATGGCTCGATACATTGCCAATTTGTCTGCCAACAGTTGTTGGCAGACAAATTGGCAGACAGTTGTTTAATTATGTTGTCAGTTGTCAGTTGTTTAATTATGGAACTTTATTACATTCAAGAGGCAGACGGTAAAAAAGGGTTCGGAGATACTGTGAAAAAGTGTTAATTAACTAATGCCTATAAATTGATAATACACCGGCAAACCGTCTACCTTGTGAAAGTTCGTTTATTTCATGCTACTATAAGTCTACGCTGTGCTTGACAGACGGTAGAAAATTGATTTTAGTTAACCATTTTTTTGGTTAAATGAAGAATCCATGCTTTAGCCAGAACACCATGTAACCGTCTGCCAATTATTTTTTGTGGGTTGCGTAACCTAGTCTTCCGGTAGCATGAATGGCAGACGGTGAAATATTGGTCAAAGAAGCTCTTTTTTTATGCAAACTAGAGTTAATGTTTAGGCATGTGTAACATGGGAAAAATTCGTTCAACGCATAATACTGTTGCTTGTGTCTGTAAATATGTCCTCTGAAGAAGGCAAACGGTAAAAATGGGGTCAAAATGTCTGTCATGGGCTCCCGGTCTATGTTATACTCCATATTTATGGATATTGCCGGAAATCAAGTTTGTTGTATTGGTTAGTGAGTTCTAAGTACAAAACATGCTTCACCAGAATGGTTTAATTCCTGAGATGAAACTCAAAAGTCCCATAATATGCAGGAAATTTCTGCTAAAATCTACTGATCTAGGAGAGCCAGAAACGCGTAGATGAAAGAAAATACTTCTGAAAGCGAGATCACTGATTCGTTTTTGTTTTCCAAATACGTCTAGACCACCTTCAAATTTTGGCCACCTTGTATAGTAGGCGTTTATCGGAGTCGAGAAAATACATTTCACGAATTTCAAATTCATGTGGGGATCCTCCTCTGAAATTGATTTTTCTAAATCACATTCTGATATCATGAAGGGCATCGATGGAAAATGATATCCTCTCTGGAATGTATAGTTTAAGTTGCCCAAGGGCTTCAAACGAGGCAAAATATAACAGATGAGCTTTTTATGCGAGTTATATGATGCGAACTTTAATATTCTTTAAAACGTACATCATCTGGATAACAAATAGGTTCACATGTCTGGGTATATTTTGGTGGATGGAGAGAGAGAAGCCGAAAGTCATATCAAACTAGTATACTGAAGTCTTCCAATTGAGCACCGAATGGTAGAGTAGACATGTGATTTATTATAAAATTAAGGGTTGGTATCGTTACACGCCTTGTAGAGAAGGAGAATAGAAATTGCTTCTTTTAAATGTTTCGCCTTCCAGCCAGAAAAAAATTGAGTGGAATATCGTTGATAAATTACAATTTGTCGGTTTGTTTCATAAAAAAACAGTTTTTCAAGAAACGTACCTTGCCAACAGCAAGTACGAGTTATTACAAGTCAAAAAATCAGTGGATTTCCATTATCTCCTCAATTATTTTCGAATAAATTGGAAGCACACTAATTGAACGAATATCACTGAACTCCACTGAATGGTTTATTTCAAGAGTAGAAATGATTTTTTTTTATTTCTATGATGTGGGAAAAATTATTTTTTAATTACCATTGATTATTTATGTGAGTAATGATAAAAACTATTGAAGGATAACGTGAATGAATGATATTAATATTCAATTCGTCGTTACCAAATGCTTTCGATTTCATATTCTGCATCTCCAACAGTACTTTTAGAAATCCCCACAAGACAAAATGGAATTTCTATTTAATTCTTCATGTTTTCTCATAGCACATCAACAAGTCACTTATAGAAGGTGGAGTTTTGGTTGACCCAATAGGATATTCATTACTATTCTCAATAGTTTCAGATGATCTCAATTTCTTCGATTTTTACTTTTCATCTCATTTAGTGTTGTTCCACTGAATTATTTTTCAATCACTGAATAGTTTCGTCTCCCATTGTTTGCATTTCTCTAATAGTAGATAGATAGATTTATTAAAGCTTTCAATTTAAACAATTGATAAAACTCAAGTCATAAAAATGATTACTTCAACAATACAAATATCACTTAATATTGATATAAATGAAAGCACGTTGTATAGGTAAATACAATAAGTATATGAAAATGACAAGAACAAATAAGTAAATATCTCAGATAAAGATTGATGAGTAGAATGTAATATGTAATATTGAAGTTACTAGGAAGCTTAAATTTGATACAGACTGAAAATGGTTATTTGTCCATGAATTCTTGTACTGAATATGGCTCAATGTAACACAACAGATCAAAAACACGTTTTTTGAAAATGTGTCTGGTCCGATCTTCTTTGATAATCAAGGGTAAATGGTTGTAGAATTTAATTGATGCGTAATGCGGCCCATGCTCTGTGTTTTTCAATCTATGTTTAGGAACAATATAATTTAATTTCTGTCAGGTGGAATACTCATGTCTATATTTGTCATCTTCAAAATTCGATTTGTTCTCGTTTATAAAAAGTACACAAACATAAATATATATAGCATATTATACAGTAAGCATTTTGTTACCCTTGAAGGTACCACGACAATTTCTGAGTAATTCATATCGAACATTGTTTTCATACGTTTCTGCATTATGAAAATACGTTTCAGTTGTGTACTCCCTCCCCATTCTGATATTCCATATTTCAGCAGAGTATAAACAGTCCCATAATATGCCGTTTTCAGTGCATCGATTTTCAAGTGACATCTCAACACTCGAATTGCATAACACTTACCTGCTAGTTTTTTTGCAAGATAGTCAATATGTACCTCATAATTCTGTTTATCATCTATATAAATTCCTAACAGTTTTGTACTCGTTGAAATATCTAGTCTTTCACTACTGAGCTGAAAATACTCCGGAATAGAAATATTCATGTGAACAGTTTTGAACAAAATGCAGTCTGTTTTAGATGTGTTTAACAATAACCTGTTGGTATTGAAATATGTGGATGCTATAGAAATGCTATTTGAAATGGATTTTTCCAAGTTGAGGTTCCTGTTTACTGGTACAATGAGATTGGAATCATCTGCATAGCTCACAACTTTAGTACTTGATTTAATTTCAGAAAAATCATTTAGGTATATAATAAATAGTAAAGGTCCAAGTACACTTCCCTATGGTACGCCTTTTTCTATTTCAGTGAAGTCTGTGAAAAATTCATTATTTCGTTGCCTAATATGTAGTATCCAAATAATATAGTAATCCTAAGTAATCCGAAGGGCATATTTTGCATTTTTGACGAAAAACACTCTTATGGTGGTTGAAAGTCATTTGAGTGAATAATACTATCATTAATAATATTAACTTCAGTATATCTTCAGTTTCTGAAATGAGATACTAGGCTAATTCTTGTAAATCTTCTTGAGAATATTAGGTATTTATACTTTGTGATAACATATGAGTTATTTTTCGCTGTAGATTATTCGGTAGTTCTACAAACAGTTTGAATCCGCAACATATTTGCCGGTGATCTGATATTTGGCCATTGTTCACCCTAGAACAGTATTCATCACAACTTAAATCCGTAATGATTTAATCTATCAGAGGTACAGAAGTTTTAAAAATTCCATTAGTATCCAAAATAGAGCTAGAGTCTATGATAGTTGAAATAAAAATAAATCTTTTATGAATTTGGCCGTAATAGAACTCGCAGGTTTGTGAATATTTCGTATAACAATTGAAAATTTTTTCAACAGAAGTTTCAATCCATATTTACTCTACATAATAGACACCTCATAGGCACCTCATAGGCGCCCCCCCCTCAGCATATAATTTTCACTAATTTCAGAATAACAAAGAATCGTCTCATTGCATAGTATCTAGTTGTGATTATACCTTCCTTTGAACGAGTTGAGAATATCACCTACACTTTGCTACATCAAAGGAAAAGCGATTTCGCTGACTTCATGATAAATTAGTAAGAATTAGAAGGTGGGTCAGGACACTCACCCTGAGGATTTATACGTGAATGAAATACAACATGTACAACTATCGGTCGGTAGTTGTAGGTGCTTTGTTCACTCAGTCAATAGGCCGATGTGTGAGTCGAAGGTTCAAGCCGCAGGCTGAACGTTTGATTTTTACTTGCTATCGTCCAACCCGTGTTAGGAATCACACGTTAAGAGCTTAGACCTCGTTAGTCCTGACTTCATGATAAATTAGTAAGAATTAGAAGGTGGGTCAGGACACTCACCCTGAGGATTCATACGTGAATGAAATACAACATGTACAACTATCGGTCGGTAGTTGTAGGTGCTTTGTTCACTCAGTCAATAGGCCGATGTGTGAGTCGAAGGTTCAAGCCGCAGGCTGAACGTTTGATTTTTACTTGCTATCGTCCAACCCGTGTTAGGAATCACACGTTAAGAGGTGAGACCTCGTTAGTCCTCAGCTTGCCTGTTGTTGTTAACAACAACAGGCAACTAGATGCCTATGAGAGTGTAGAAATAAGTAAACACAATAATATCATGAATAACGATGACGGACCTATACCAAAGAGCATACTATGTAGCTTGTTGAAATAATGTTGTTGGGTTCACTGATTACTACATAAGGACACTTTGCAAAAATAAATTTAGATAGGCAATATTGTGAAATTAATTTTTATATAGCTGAAAATTGTTTTATAATAATCAAACATATATTGTAAAATAATAGATAAGGCAAAATTGTAAAATTAATTCAGGTTGGTATACCTGTATGGGTGGTATACCTGGATGGTTTACCTGTATGGGATATCTATATAGCATAAATTGCGTTAGCTTCGCGTTAGTTACTAGTTTAATATGCATCTTGGAAGATGATCACTTGGTGATCGAAACACGTGTCGAGGTGTTAGAAATAACGATTTTGTGTTGGGAAAAAACTACAGTAATATTCATTACTACACCAAAGGTTCCAAACAGTGCATCACAAGACCATTATTGCAGATAAAAATTATGTTTCTTGTGTACAACGTATCGAAATCAGAATAAACACCATTTTTTGTTACTTCCACTTGTCAACTGAGTCAAATCACAGGTACAAATGAACAAAAATGGTACAGGTGTGAAATGTTTGAGAGTTTCAATATTGATGGAAGGATGGTAATTGGAATGTTTTTAAACATTTCTCGAATTAATAAAAGAAATTGAAATTTGAATTTGAATAAATAGTGTTTTATTCACCAAATCAAAACTTACTACATCGATTGTTGCTTCGTAGGGTACCATTGGAGAGCATTCCTAATAGCTTCTAGATTAATTATCACAAGTAGCGGATTGCCATTTAAGAATATAAATTCGGGGTGGCTGAGGGCGAGGGGGTGTGTGAACAAAAGTTATCTATTACATCATTTTAGTTTTCCTTTCCTAATATGAAAGTTTTTTTCAGCGATTTCTTATATTTTATTTGATTCCTCAGATATGGCCATTGTATAAGTTTTCAAATTGACACCCTGTATGTAGCAGTGTGAAGTTTATTTGAAGAGGAAAAGATCACAAATATCGAAATAACACGTATAACTGCTTAGTTATATAAATTCCTCCCATTTGAAATGTGATTATAGTGATGTTTTCAGATTATATAGTCAACCGACCAACATTTACCGCAAACGAGAGTCAAGTGCTTCAGAAACCACAACAACTACACTTGTGACAGTGAATGGAGGTGGTAAAAGAACTTCCAACGGAACTCCCATGTCAAGAAGTCCCTATCTACATCTCCCAAGACCAAGCTACGGTGGTACTGTTTGAATATATTCAGAATACCTAGAAACAGCGGACGAATTCGGCCAGTCGACCACTTGGACCACAAGAAAACTCTTTTTTTTTATTTACAAGCATCATTGAAACGTGTTCATAATTATAAACACTGCAAAAAATCAAGGAATCCTATCTTCTATTATTTTCTATTGCATTTCAGTTCAAATATTCATTCATACTTGATACTGGGTCTGATGTTTAACTGAATGTAGAAGAATGTTTGAACAAATTGTATTGTGAGAGTTAAAATGATTTTGGTAGCACCATATAGTATCTAAGACTAGGTATGGCAGTAATTTGATAAAAGGTTCACAACAAACCGAAGACTCTTTTTATTTATCACACATATTTGATAATTTTAGTACTGATTTCAAAAGCCAGATGTTCGAATCAATTTCTACAGGTTATTCAATAAAATGTTCTGTAACTGGTATTCATACAACATCCTCAAGATAATGTAATCAATATACTATTGCATAATTAAGGAAAATATCAAGAAACGAATATTTATTTTCATATTCTCGACACCAAATGATTTTTTAATCGAATCCCTTACTTTGGTATCCACACCAAAACCTCAAGATGATGTATTCAATATATTGCATAATTACAAAAAGTATCAAGAAACAGATATTTATTTTTATATTTTCGACATAAAATGATTTGGTGATCGAATCCCCAATTAATGAAAGCACTGACAATTTTTTTTTATATTTCATTGGTTAATCCATTCCATTGTCCTATTATTCATCAGAAATAAATTTCATCCTAGCGTGATGAAATTTGATTCATATTTCATGCAGGAACACAATTACTTCAGCAAAATCGTCAAGATAATCGGCAGTGTGAAAGTGTACTTTGCATTTGCATATCTCTCAATCATATTCATTTTTAGAAAAATGGTATGAATGATATGATAATAAAATCGTGAAAGGTTAAATGAGACTACTTTCATGCGATATATCTATTCTTCCAAATGTATCGAAAACACTGAACTTTCATTAAAAATGTTTTTCCAAATTCATTGTTTGTTTTATTAAATTCAAAATCATTAGAGATAGAATTTGAAGACTATTATACAAAATGTGGAAACAGCTTCAATATAACAGCATGCATTTCTTAGTATATTCTGCTCAACTAAATAATTTAGCGTTGTTGCCAAAACCATAACATCTTTTTTTTTCATCGATTTTTTTGTGGAATTTAGAGATTCAAGTGGGAATCGATGTTTCTCAGCACACAACATTCAATATTCAACGTAGCAATCCAGTTTCAATTCCATAACGAATGGAATACAAATTGTATCAACTGTATATGAGTTCTTACTATATTGATTATTTTCGTCCTTCTTTCAGAAATTTCCCACTTCTTGTATGATTAAGGATAGGTTAGGTTAGGTCCAAAGTAAGTAGGTCTATTCGACCCTCCACAAGGGTTTATTGTGGCTCACACCTATTCACACTCGACCAAATAAACCCATTTTTAACGAAGTCAATTAGTGTGTATGGTAAGTGGTCTTTCAGGTCAGATGGTAAGAGTACGGCTCTGCCGAACTCTAAAAACCTGATTCGGTCCCCAGCGGGGCAGGCACAAAGTATATGCTCTGCTGTTTCATCGCTGATGAGGCAGTTGGATAGTCAAGGTGCAAGATTCTCACCTTGATAACCGTGACAACCTTTCCATATGAGGGTTTTTGCAAGTCAGCTACACCTGACGATGCCTTAGTTTCACCCGTGCAGGGCTTTTTCGCCTCTGGTTTTGGTAAACAATAATTTGTGCACAAACGTTTGCTAACCTGCTCTTGGGGGGTTTGGTCCTCCACTCGAGACAGATTCTGCATACGCCGCTCAAGAATTTGGTGCAAGGCAGTTTCAAAAGATACTCCGCTCTAGAGGAGAAGACTCAGTCGTTTCCTGGCTCCACCACCACACCTTTTTTTTTAGGGTCAGTTATTGAGTCAGGAGTTGGAGAGTAGAGAAGCTCTCGCTTCTGATCTAAATGTACAGGGAAGTCCGTTGGAGTCGTAAGCTTGACATCCATCTGCTCTGACGACTCGCTCCTGATCTAAATTTGCAAGGAGGTGTCAGTTGGAGTCGTATGCTCGACACCCATAGCGTCTGTAGACTCAGCATCAGAAATAATTTTTAAGTTCACTCTGTGCATAAAAGTCCCACGAGTAGCTAGAGAAAGAAGGTCAATTACGGCAGAGCCCCGCATTACCGTGACATGGCGATGCTACGACAAGAGGGCGCCCGGTATCTCGAAGGTTCCGTAGTGACAGCTGATAGGCTCAGTGTCATTCATCCTCGCGGCACGGAAACTCACACCTTAGGATTAAGCCATCGTTGGGATGCCATTCAGTTAGGGAATAATAGAACCACAAGTGATTCTGTCATTCCAATATTCAGTGCAGCCAACCCGTAAAACATCGAAAGGTGCTTTCTTTCAAAAACTAATCTCTCAAAAATTCATTATACTAATTCGTGGTAGTCCCTAGGTACAACAGGAGGCAATGACATCTCCACTTTAAAAAAACTTCATCTGTGCCATCAGGAGAACGAAAAACTAATCATTACAGTTTATTGTATGATTTTATAGTGAAAATCATACAATGAAGTATATTAATTAGTTTTGATATGGATTTCAATCAAACATCGGCCTGTTATATACAATTATCAACAGAATACTGATTCCACGCATATGGAAGATAAATAAGGTTTTCCATGGCGGTCAGTTCAAAGTCAAGCTTCGGTGTCGACCGCCGAACGAAATTCGTCCTCTGTCCTTCACTACAAGGCAACTAGTTGAAACCCGTAAATGAAGCATTTGTGTTTATAATCCAGACAGTGCTCTTTATTTAGTCATAGATTCCATCAGTAGTACTAGGTTGAATCACGAATGCATTGCTGGTCTCTGAGATAGTTGAGGCGATATTTTTCCTTTCAACGACGCCATCTATAGGATCGACAGTAGACTCAATCCATGAATATCTCAAAACCTTCGAGACAAAAATAAGCTCTTTTGATTTCTGAGTATCCAACACAACAACTGCACTCACATACCAGAAAGACAACACTATATTGCATGGTGAATTTCATCCTTTCATGACAGAATGCGTGGAACGCATTGGAAAAAGTGATGCTATTCAGTATTTGTGTTGGATTTATTCCTGCCAAAAATTAATGTTCTACCTTCCAATTTATCAGAACTCAGCCAAAAAATCACTTCCGCATTGGAAACATCCAAAAAATATTTCAATTTTGGTATTGATGAATGATGTTACCCATTGCCACGAAGGGGTCGATAGAGTTGAAGTACCATCGGAACGTATACAGATAATAAAGGAATTTTGAATTGAAGTTGTAACAAAATAGAAAGCAATTACTCAAAAATTATACTAAATTGAATATAAAAAGTGAATAAAAACCGCTGAAATGAGATATTTCATAACTGTTCGTTTTTGAAACAGTATCAGAACAGCGGATAATCTAATATTCGCTTTGTCTCCCGGGAAAAGCTGTGATTATTTAAACTCTGATGAAAAATGTTCATTTGCCTTAGAGAACCTGAAGAGATCCCTTTACCGTCGAATAATAACTTGAACTTTACTAATTCTTCCTCACTGTCACGTGAGGTTAGTTCTAGGAAGAGCCATTTAATATTATCTTCCGGAAAAATTTTCCCAACACCAGAATACAATTACTGTCTCTTGAGGCACATTCTGATAACCATCCCTGAGGATATTTACCCAGCGAAACGCACGTCGAAAGACTTCCACATATCAGTGCACTGTTTTTAAAAAGTCAACAAGATTGAATTTGGCATGTTCATTATCGTAATATGATTGTTGAATTGTAGAATTTGGACCGTCTGGCGTAAAATAAATCTACTAAGTCACTGTCTTTCCACCAGAACAAAACTACTGCCTCTCGATACTAGATTGCAAGAAGTTTTATGGACTCCTGGCAGAATCTTCCAGGATTGGCTCACTCCAAGGTGTTTATTCATCCTTCGAAGCTTGATACCAAACAGTTGTTCGACAACAAATGGGATGAACTACGATGTCTGACAGGTCTTCTTACAAGTTACTGTCATTTGAATCATCATATGCAGAAACTTGGACTGTCGGAAGACAGCGTGTGTCGCCTCTGTTTGGACAATGATGAAACAGCAGAGCACGTACTTTGTGTCTGCCCCGCTGGGCACCGAATCAGGTTATTAGAGTTCGGCATCTGACCTGAAAGACCACTCACCATACAAACTAATCGGCTTCATCAAGAAGCTTGGTTTATTTTATCGAGTGTGAATAGGTGTGAGCCACAATAAACCCTTGCGTGGAGAGTCGAATAGACCCACTAACTTTGGACCTAACCTAACCTAACTACTACCTCTCAATAATATATTAGATCTTTGAGAATGTGTGTATTAATATTTTTGGTATTTAATACTACTCATAATAAAACAGGAAAGTTGGGGTGCATATGCGAGTTTCAAAAAGAAAATATGAAAAATCATAGCTGTTTTCAAAAATGGGACTTCCCAACAGGAACACCATTCATGACACATTTACCCAAAAATGTCAGTTAAATTGGGGGACAATTATCGCGAAAATGTTGGATTCAGGCAGTGACAAAATTGGAGGTTCTTGAGATTTCCAATAACAACACATTCTGAATATTACTGCAGCAATTGTTCTATTCAAAAAAACCTTCAAAAGTATTCAAAATATTTCTGGAGGAAATCACTTTCATATTTTAACCAGGTTTCTCAAGAAAATCCTAATAAAATATTTTTCCTTTTAGTCTGAATTGTAGAACAGTGAACGCCCTCTAGGTTGTTTACATTAAAATAATGGAAAGCTCATATAAATCGATAAGCCAGTTAGTCGATTATGTTTCCATCTATCGTTAGTTTGATAAAGTTATTTTACTTGAATGTCTTCGATTAGAATCATATTCGCAAACAGTAGGGATCTGTTATTATTTATGTTCATTATTTCCACAATACATAGAGGGAAAACCATATAATACGTCTGAAAGTTTTCCATAGCAATTTCAGATTGTCTTCAAATAATTGAAAACTCATTGAGAACAGGGGCGCCGAACAGGGGCGTGATTCCCACGAGAGGTTAATAGTGAGTGTCGAGCATCCACGACTGTGAATATCTATAATAATTCTCATTCTCATCTTTCAACGAACGCGATCTTAATGTCTTGTATTTTCTTGTGTCCATTTAGTAATTACTAGGTTTCCGTACGCAGCTTCGCTGCGATTTCGTCTTCCGTTGTAACTACTTCTCGACAGATTGATCCCAATACAAAATGGCGCTACCTAGAGAACGAATTCACTTCATTCACTGCTTTTGAATATTAATTTGGTTTCTCCTACTATTATTTTTTCAAGATAATAACTTTCGTGTGACGTAACCAATATCTCTACCAAATTTCATCCGTTTTACAAAGTACCTCTGAATTGTAAGGCTAATAAATATCTCTACATTTTATGAAATAAAGTTGCTTCCTGCTGTCTGGATATATGTGTGTCTCAGTGGCCATGGCGGTATCTTTATACAAGCCCAAAGCCCGGCTTGATTAAAGAAAAATCTTGAAATATTTGTATCTACCTATATTTCAAATTACGAATTAGTTTTAACGAGCAAAATATTTTTTCTTGTTACGATATTATTTGTATTTTCGCGCCATCTAGTCAAAAGCGAGTGAGCTAAGACAACGACAGACAAAAAAACGATCCAAAATATCGACAGCAACTCTAATGTTTCAATTTTTAATCTGTCTTATGCAGCTGTCTTTGCGAAGCGCAGAACTACCGAATTTCACTTTTGTTTTGTTACCTATGTCTGTGATTCATAGATTTTATTCGTTACCGTTTATTGTAATTTATTAAAGCTAAAGAATGAGATAAATGATACGCAATTTTATTTATTTTCAATCAAATGTTTTAAAACAAAAGTGTGTGTGCACGGTGCAGCA